GGAAGCGTCGGCGGACAAGGAACGACTGAGGCTGGCGACTGGGGCAACACAGGCGGAACCTGGGCAACCGCAACCGGCGGATGGGGCGCCGCATCTGGCGCCGACACGAGTAACTGGGGCACCCCTACTAGAGGCTGGGGGACTTCCCGCGAAGACCAAAGGGGGGGAGAAGAAGAAGCTGGAGAGTCTGCAGTTGTTCCCCTCGGTCGTCCCCCACGCCATGTCCCACTCGCGTTACCTCCTCCTGATAACCCACCGCGCCGCGATCCATGGGACACCATCGCCTGGGGCAACGAGCCGTCAACCCCGCGTCGCACCGCTTACGGACCGGCTCCCGAACCACGGGGACCAACCCTCGTCCCTGGAACCATCCCTGGGACCAACATCCCACTCTCTGAGATTCGCGACAGAGAGTTCCTGGCGCTGATGCTGACTACCGCGGCAGAAGAAGAAGATGCAGAAGAAGCAGCAGCAGAACCTGCCCCCGTACCTGATGAAGACCCGGAGGAAGCCCGCGCGCGCTACATGCGCACCTCCGGCTTTCGCGCCGACGATGCACTCTGGCACCAGCGCCTCGGACATCCTTCTCGCGCAACGCTGAAAAATTGTATCGACGCAGGCGTCTTCGCTCCTGGCGCACTCCTGCGCCCTGATGGCTCCGAAGTGAGAGGCGCAACGCATCCGCGCAACTGCACAGTCTGCCCCGAAGCTGCGCTGAGCCACCAACCGTTCCCGCTGCTCGAACCTGGGACGAACCGCTACCCCAAACTGCACAAGGTGTACAGCGATTTCCTGAACGTAGGGCATTGCGGAGTCGAGGACGAGCTATACACTCTTACCTTCATTGACGCTGGAACACGCTACGTGTGGGTCGCGAACGTGGAGACGCGCGACAGAGCCTACGAGGTGTTTCGGCTCTGGCTAGCGCATGCGGAGCGGCAATCTGGAAAGAAGCTAAAGATCTGGCAATCTGACGGCGCAGCAGAGTTCAGGAGCAACCAGATGCAGACCTACTTGGCGCAAAAGGGGATCGAGCATCACATCTCTCTCCCCTACGCACACCAGCAGCAGGGCGTAGCTGAGCGAACGAATCGCACACTGATGACGAAGGTGCGGGCGCTGATGAAGCAGTCGAAGCTGCCGCCGATCTACTGGACTTACGCGATGCACCACGCCGTGCGGGTGCACAACCTGCTTTCAACCACCGCGATCACCGGGAATCTCTCCCCGCACGTCAAATGGACCGGGACCAAGGGGGATACCTCCATGCTCCGCGTGTGGGGGTGCATGGTGCAGTACCGCCCGCCAACATCAACCATCGGCAAATTCGCCAGTCGCGCGCGCTGGGGAATTCACCTCGGCATCAGTCACGAGTACAAAGCATGGATCGTACTGGACCTCCTCAGTCAGAAAACCGCCCACGCTCGCGACGTAATCTTCTACGAGCGCCTCTTCCTCGACCAGTTCCGCGACGACGAGCAGAGGAATGCAGATCGCGTTTACGCGAACAACGGCCACAGCTACGCAACGCCCGAAGACGAAGCCGCTGCAGCACTTCTAGAGCAGGACACCAGGGCCGAATTCACTTGGGAAGATCGGCGCAGCAGCGACAACGACGATGATCCCTCATGAGAGGGAACAGGCGGAACGGGGGGAAGCGGCGGAGGCGCAACACCATCAGCACCACCTGAACCTGAGAGCGACGATGATGACGTGCAGGAAGTCGTCCCGCAGCGTCACCACGACAGTACCGTCTCAGGACTACAACTGCTCGGACTTCACACCGCAACCTCGAAAGCGCCGCGCGTCATCGAGCCCCGAAACCCGCGCGAAGCCCTCTCTGGACCACACAGCAAGGAATGGCGTGAGGCAATGGACGCGGAAATCAAGGCACTAGAGTCACGCGACACCTGGGTGCTCGTTGACCGCGCAGCAATCAAAGGTGCAAGAATCCTTTCGGGGAAGTGGGTCTTCCGCGTGAAGACCGCAGCTGACGGAACGATTGAGCGCTTTAAAGCACGCTGGGTGGTTCGCGGCTATGACCAGAGGCATGGGATCGATTTCGACCAGACATTCGCCCCCGTCAGTCGCCACACCTCCGTCCGCATCTTGCTCGCTATCGCAGCTGCAAGGCACCTGCCACTCCGCCAGATCGATGTTAAAAACGCGTTCCTATACGTGCTAGTGGACGCTGTGATTTACGTGGAGCAGCCACACACCTATGGCGAAGGTGACTCGCGCGTATGTCAGCTGCGCAAGTCACTGTACGGCATCAAGCAGGCTCCAAGACTGTGGCAGCAGTACTTGCACAACATCCTGCTTGAAATCGGGTTCAAGCAGATGCCCCACGACCTAGGGATGTACCGCCGCGATTTCCGCGGGGAATACATCCTCCTCACGGTCTACGTCGACGACTTGCTCTACACGGGCTCAAACAACGAGCTGCTCGAACAGTTCGAGAAGGCTTTGGCGGGGCGCGTCGACATCACGTGCAACTACGAGGTGAAGCAGTTCCTAGGCCTCAACATCTCCTACGCGCCTGAAGCCATTCATCTGTCAGCAGCTAAGTACGCAGAGGAGTTAGGGAAGCGGTTCAAGATTTCACCCGCACCTCTCTCGACTCCCTATCGAACCCCCGGACCGAACCACAAACCTGACAACAAAGCCCTATCCCCTGCTGGAGTTCAGACTTACCAGCAGCAGCTGGGATGCCTTCTCTTCGCCTCTGTCACCTGCAGGCCAGACCTCTCCTACATCGCAAGTCAGCTCGCCCAGCACTCACGGAAACCAACGGCTGAAAATCACCTGGACCTGCAGCGCGCTTTGCAATTTTTCGTTTCAACGCCCAAGATCGGGCTGTGCTACTCAACTGCACCAACCCCATCCTTCAATCTCGTCGGCTATGTGGATGCCGATCATGCAGCAGATCCCGACAATCGACGGTCCAGGACCGGCTTCCTGTTCCGACTCGAACCAACGGGGCCAATCTCCTGGAACTCACAGAAGCAGGAGCTGGTTGCCCTGTCGTCAGCCGAAGCAGAATTCATCGCAGCAACCGCAGCAGTTCGCGAAGGCCTCTACCTACAGGAACTCCTGCAGGAGGCGAAAATTCCAGCTTCGCCAACCTTTCGACTTCACTGCGACAACCAGAGCGCGATTCGCATCGCGAACAAACCTGGTTTCGTCAATCGCACCAAGCACATTGCGCTGCGATATTTCTTCGTGAAGGACGAAGTGGACAAGGGCAAGGTCAACTTGACCTATTGCCCGACCGGTGACATGGCAGCAGACTTCCTCACGAAGCGACTGCCACGCCAGCAGTATCAGCACTGCTCCGAACTCAGCGGCGTGGTCAAGCAGGTCAAATCGAGCTACGGCCAGGAGTGAAGGGGGGTGTTACGAATAGTAACATTTAATTGTTACTGAGCACTCCTCACCGCAGCAAAGAGAAGCACGCAGTATCGAAGCAAGAAAACGAACTGTCAGACGGTTGGAGTTTGACTCAAGTGTCAGACAGTTGGGGCGCATCTGGACCGTCGGAAGCAGACGGCATCGAACAGCTGCAGGCAGGATGTTTTGGCGGGAACAGTTACGAAACTGTACGCGCCGCACGGTTGGGAATGCGTTTAAATAAGGGAATGTACCCCTTAGAGTACATGACTAGCTAGGTCGTTTCGTCTTCCCTGTACTCATATTTATACTTGCTGTATTTGCATGTTTTAATCATCTCAAGCATTTTACATTCACTCTGCTATTGAGGTCACGGGCCCACCAACTACATTTCCCTGTGTGCGAACCTTCCTGAGTAGATCCTGGCAGCGATCATTCTTTGATCGTAGCAATCGAGTCGAAAACATTTAGGGTCGCGAATCTGATTCTCCCGCAGCTTGGAAGGGACTGATTCCCTGCCAACACATATTGACAGAATGACAGCGCATGCTAACTAGACGTGCAAAAAGTGAGATTAGAGTGGAAACCAAAATTGTAGTTCGTTTCCCTTATAAGGTGAAAATTGTTTCTGTATCTCGACAAGTTTCTGCATAAAAAACCAACATGCGCTTATAATAAATCATCTGTTTTTTTGGAGGTGGGCTTATAATCGACCGGATATACGGTAAGCGCCGTCATCCTTTTATACCGTAAGTGCCGGCACTTATCCGAGGCCTGCGCTTCTATCCGGGGGCTTGCGGTATCATCCCATTCCATGGGACTACCACAACACAGTGCGAAATGCAAGTGACCGCCCTTGCTCTGGCAGTCCCAGTGTGCCTGACTGCACTGATCATGTGTTCAACACATGCAATGCTATCATGCTAGTCAGCACTGACTGGTCCATGCAAAGCTACCCTACCGAACTCATCTCATCAGTCTATAATGAGTACACAGGTTATACCACTGAGTTCCCCTCTACACCCTCTGCCCCAGGGCTATTATTTTCCACTGCTGCAACTCATTAACTTCCCTATTCCGCCCTAACCTTCTAATAAATGCCTCCACATGCACCATCATATCCCCCTCCACCATCATTTTCCACGCCACCTCTCAGAGTTGCTCCTGATGCACCTTCATCTGCGCCACCCCTTTCTTCACTCCTCAATTGTCACTGCATCAGTGCATCGCTGCATCAGTGCATCACTGCATCAGTGCATCGCTGCATCAGTGCATCGCTGCATCAGTGCATCGCTGCATCAGTGCATCACTGCATCAGTGCATCGCTGCATCAGTGCATCGCTGCATCAGTGCATCACTGCATCAGTGCATCGCTGCATCAGTGCATCGCTGCATCAGTGCATCGCTGCCACAACCGCGCCTCCATCCCTCACTGCAGCTCAGTGCAGGCTGCAGCAAGCAACTCGTGAGCGCAGTGAGCTCTTCAGTGCAGGCGAGTGAGCTCCTTCACCTTGCTGCAGAGCTCTTCACCCTTTTGGGGGCTCCTCCGGGTCACCACCGCAACCACCATCACCGCCACCACGAATCCGCCTTCTAGTTTTCAGAGCAGCTCAGTGCAGGCGGGTGAGCTCCTCCACCTTCTTGCAGAGCTCCTCGAGAGGCACCTTCATGTGGTCGGCCACCTCGGCCATGCGCTCCCTCTTGAGGTCCAGAAAGGCTTCAATGAGGTCGCCGTCGATGAAGCCCTTGCTGTCCACCGTCTTGCGCTCGTTGTGGAAGCTGCGCCACTCCGCGTGTGACAGCCCGCCCACGCCCTTTATCACCTTTGTTAGGCACACCTGCGGGCAGAGCGCGGGGGAAGTGGGGGGGGACGAGAATGGGTGCTTCGACGATGCAGGTTAGCTAAAGCCACAGCATGATGATGCTTTGAGACACCTTAAACTAGCTCCTGTGAGGCCACTCAGAGGGATAAAAGGACACGAGTCAGGCCGAGAAAACAGGTGAGCGGGAGAAAGGAGCACACCTGAAGACGGTGCAGGAAAGAAGAGGTCCTGCGGCAGCGAGGCGACCACTCTGATGGTCTTTGAGATGCCTCAAAAACGAGTGAGGCACACCCGCACACGCACACGCACCCAGCCACCCACCCACCCAGCCACCCAGCCACCCACCCACCCACTTACCCACCCACCCACCCACCCACCCAGCCACGCACGCACCACCCACCCACCGAGCCAGCAAGAGACGCACCTGCAGGCGGTGCAGGAAGGAGAAGAGGTCCTGGGGCAGCGAGGCAACGACCCCGATGGCGCCGCTGACAGTGCCAAAGAGCAGCGTGGGGATGTTGGCCGTCTCCGAGTCTGGTAACCGCATCACCAGCGACCCGTGGCGGAAGCGATTCACAAACTCGCCCACGTGGTACTCGCCCACCACCTGCAGGGGCAGGAAGGGGGGTTAGTTGTGGAGTAGGTTTGTGTATGGGGAGGCGCAGACATGAGTTGGTGAGATGTTGCAAGCGGGCTCAATGTACCACCAGGGGTACTCCCACCACGCCCTGCTGTCGTCTAGTCACCAGCCACCCGTGGCGGAAGCGATTCACAAACCCTCCCAGGTGGCACTCGCCCACCACCTGTGAGCGAGTAGGGCGTTGGAGGGTGTTGATTGTGTTGTGAGTGCATAGGCATTGACTCGGCCCACCACCGCAATGGCGAGACAGTCACTCATTCCTGAGCTTCTTGAACCACATTGAAAGCACCCCCAGGGACCAAGGGTAGCAAAACGCGAGGGACGCCCACGGGTCGGCGTGAGATCCCAGGCACGCACCTCAAGGCGCCCCCTCTCCTCGTCGGTGGGGGCGTCACCGTTCTTGCGGAGGGTGAAGAGGTTGAAGCTGTTCTCGGCGCCGATGTACACGTCATCATCCAGCACCTCCACCGCCGTCATCCAGTTGGCGTTGAAGTCGCGCGCCCTCAGCTCCAACGCCCCCTCCTCTTGCTGCCACGCGTGGGAGGGAGAAGAGGGAGGGGAGGGGACAGGGAGGAGGAGGGTAGTGTGGCAAGATAGACCCGGGTGCTGCAGCACGACAGACTAAGGAGCGGGTGGAAAACGTATGGAAGGGCGCGGAACAGAAAAGAAGCCAGGGATGACCTGCTGCTGCAGGGAGTGGAGTGAGAGCAGCGCAGGTCCCTATCAGATACTATCGCTCACCCACCTTGTAGACGAGCAGCGACATGCTCTTCATGAGGTCGCCGACGACAATGAAGTCCCCCCGGCATGCCGTGTACAGCGCCAGGATGTGCCCCAAGTGGCCACACTCCACCAGCAGCTCCCTGCCGCCGTCGTCGCGGGGCGCCCAGCGCAGCAGCTGCACCTTGTTGTTGATGCCCGCCAGCACCTTCCCGTTGAACGCGCTCAGCGTGTACACGGCGCCCTTGGTCTCCTTCTCTGCAACTATCTGCAGCTTGCCGCCCTCCACTGCCAGCACCAGGATGCGACCCTGCACGGCCACAGCACACAGGGTTTGAGGAATGGAAAGAAAGGGCCTTTGCTATGCGTCAGTAGCGGCACACGCATTGTGAGACACGCACACACATTGTCGGGACCCAACAGCAATCCACCATCAGCTCTAGGGGGGAATGGCAAACAAGAGAGAGGCGAGTGAAGAAAGGAATGGAAAGGCAGGGATACGAGGTGGCAAACGTGGTACATGGCCCTTCTTGTCCCAGAAGGCACCTCACTGTTGTTAGCTTGCCTCCTCAATCCAGTTCTTACCTTATTAATTGAAAAACCATTCAAAATCCCGAAAACGTTACGCGTCAGCACGGGGGCGAGGGCTGGTCCCTCGCTCACAGCCACGAATGTGGGGAACTACTACCACCAACAACACTTTGGTGGGTTCTTGCTTGTCGACAAACACAAAGGCAGCGCTTTGGGAGCACCTTGGTGGGTTCCTGCTCGTCGGGGAAGGCAAAGGCGGTGCCGACCACGATGTAGGCGGTGGGGTCGTCAGCGAAGCAGCAGGCGATGATGGAACACCCGTTCTCAAACGGCTCTAAAGGCACGTGCGACAGCTGGTCAAACGTCTGGTCGCTCAACAGCCGCACATAGTGGCTCTCCGCCTCCTCGCCGTTCACCTGGGAGAGGGGGCGAGGGGAAAGTGAGCAAGGAAGAGGCGAGAGAAAGGGAGATGGAGAGAGATAAGCGACTGTGGTGTCACTGTGGTGACAAGGGGGCAACACAGCAGGTGTGACAGCTGGTTGAACGTCTGGTCGCTCAACAGCCGCACGTAGTGGCTGTCCGCCTCATGCGTGTTCACCAGAGAGAGTGGGCACATGGAGAACGATTCAGCGGTGAGAGAGACGGGTGATCACTGTGAAATTGAATAGATGCACACGAACAGCCGAGGGGCACACAGAGCTGAGGTAAGGAGGTGAAGGCAGGGCGGTGAGGCAGGAGATGCTGATAGGGGGGATGCGGGTGGAGGAGGTGAGGTGCGACAGCAAGTACAGAGGCAACGCAGCATGACAGAGTTTTCATAGTGTAACAATGAAAACGGGGAGTGAGCAGCGGAGCGAGCAGTGGAGTGAGCAGTGGAGTGAGCAGTGGAGTGAGCAGTGGAGTGAGCAGTGGAGTGAGCAGTGGAGTGAGCAGCGGAGTGAGCAGTGGAGTGAGCAGTGGAGTGAGCAGCGGAGTGAGCAGTGGAGTGAGCAGCAGAGTGCGACTCACAAGGCTGACTTTGATGGTGGTGACAGCGATGGAGTGCGACTGCTCGTGGTGGCAGATGCGGCGAGGCTGCTCCCTGAGAGGCACGGTGCGGATGTGCAGCTTCTGAATGTCGTCGATGCTGCCGATCGTCAGGTCGCCCTCCTTCGCCAGTGCCAGGCTGGCAGGGCAGTACACGTGGGTGGCAGGGGACACGTGGCGAGAGGGGGCAGCGCGTGTGGATGTGCAGCGCGAGGGGGCAGCGCGTGTGGATGTGCTGTGTCATGTAGGCAACGCGCACGCACGTCACTCAAGTCGTTTCCAAGGATGGCTCACAAGCTGCTCCCTCAGAGGCACTGCACGGCTGTGCAGCTTCTGAAAGGGGTCGTTGCTGCCAAAGGAGAGGCTTCCTCCCTTTGCCAGTGGTAGGCGGTGCAGTAAAATCCAGTGTGAGGGGGGGAGCGGGAAGGGGGAAGAGCGTGTGATGTGAGAGGTCATGTGTGCGCCTCTCGGGGTGCTCATGCTCAAGCCTCCCTCCCTGGCTAGTGCTTGACTTCCACACAGGCAAAACAAGGGTGCGAGAGACTTGTGTTGGAGATAACAAACCAGACTGAACCGTGAATAAAGCAGGGAATAGAGTGAAGGAGAGATTGGCAAAGTGCCAGGACGACACACCAATTTGAACAACCAAACCAGACCAGGGTTAGTTGACCAATAGCATGTAATCATAAGCTCATAAATTCGTGTGACCTTCACTTCACATCTCCATACGAACTATGAAAGCGGCAGAAGTGTAAAAGTGCATGTCTTCTTGCACCTTAATGACTTTGAGTCGACTCAAAAGTCAATAGTGCACCTCCCCCTTCTCCCCGCCCACCCTCTGCGTGCCCCACCTGTCAGGGAAGGAGGCGCAGTTGAAGGAGCACATGTGGGTGACCTCTTTGAGGTTGACGTTGGAGTAGAGCAGCTTGCGGTTGCTGCTGTGCACCACCGTCGGCCGGTCCGACGCCGCAAACACGTGAGTGGCGTCGCGCGAGCGGAAGGTGCGCAGCGCAATGGGCTGCGTGCCCAGGGACACCTTTTTCCGGTCAGACAGCTGGCCGCTCTCGCGGTCCAGGTGGAAGTTGAAGAGATGCCCGTCGCCCAGCGCACACAGCAGGTACGGCACCTGCTGGGGCGAGGGGGGAGAGGCGGAATGGAGGTGGTGCCTTTTGAGTGGACTGGTGGTGTTGAGGGATGGAGGAGAGGTGGAGCGGGGAGAGGAGAAGTGGAACGGAGAGTGGAGAGCTGGAGGGGAGCGAAATGAGGAAAAATTGCATGAAAATACAGGTGGGAGGGAGGCGAGGATTAGGACACAATAATCCAACTTCACAGCCACTGTTGCAGGCAGCACACAATCACCCACCTGCTCGAGGCAGCACACAATCACCCACCTGCTCGAGGCAGCACACAATCACCCACCTGCTCGAGGCAGCACATGAGCACGGAGCGCGGGATGATCTCCCCCCCCAGCACCTCCTTGTGCACCTCCTCCAGCCCCGGCAGGCGCAGCACGCGCACACTCATGTCCGTCCACATGCCCACCGCCGCGAATGCTGCCTTGGGGACTGCGCCTGGTGGGTGAGGAGGGAGTGGGATGAGCACAGCAAGAGATAGGTGAGAGTGGTAGCTCCAGCAGCAGCAGCAGCGGCGGCGGCGGCGGCGGCGGCGGCGACAGCAGCAGCGACAGCAGCAGCGGCAGCAGCAGTGGCAGCATGCCGCGTGCGTATGCACAATACACCATGCATGCAGCATGCGTCATCTACCATGCAGCATGCGTCATCTACCATGCAGCATGCGTCATCTACCATGCAGCATGCGTCATCTACCATGCAGCATGCGTCATCTACCATGCAGTATGCTCAACACAGACACGACCACCATCCACCACGTTCCCATCCACCACGTTCCCATCCGCTGTCCACCGTGGCCTTATTGTCATTCATCAAGGTGGCAACAAGGCACGCAATGTCATGCGCCAATGTCATGCGCCAATGTCATGCGCCAATGTCATGCGCCAATGTCATGCGCCAATGTCATGCGCCGATGTTATGCGCCGATGTCATGCGCCAATGTCATGCGCCAATGTCATGCGCCAATGTCATGCGCCAATGTCATGCGCCAATGTCATGCGCCAATGTCATGCGCCAATGTCATGCGCCAATGTCATGCGCCAATGTCATGCGCCAATGTCATGCGCCAATGTCATGCGCCAATGTCATGAGCCAATGTCATGCGCCAATGTCATGCGCCAATGTCATGCGCCAATGTTGCATGGCTTGTGAGACGTCTCAGAACAGCACACGGCACACGCCCCGCGCCCCGCGCGCCACACAGCACACAGCACTTGCCCACGCACTGTCCGCCGTGGAATTATCAAGGCACGCAATCCCATGCTCCACGGTCATTCATACACACACATCCCAAGGCGTGTACACCACACACACAGCAAATACCATCCGCCAGGCTATGATGCGAAAGACGCACCCAGGACGCTGCGTCCTGCGCCTGGACGCAGCGTCCGGACGCTAGGACGCAGGACGCGCGTCCAGACGCAAGACGCACGTCGATTTTTTTTTTTTTCGGGCAGACCGAATTTTTTTTTTTTTTCCGATCGCGAATTTCACATTCGCGATTTCGACGCGAATGTCGAAATCGCGAAATTTCGACCCCCCCAGCCCAATTCGCCATTGTAAACCAGCCCCCCTAGCAATTTCCTCACGACTCATGCAAAATGGAAATTCACTCACTCCTCACAACCACTTCACATCTACAAAACCCAACCTTACCATTGTGGCCCACCACCACCAAGCACATTAAGCAAGGCAACCACTTGTGGTTTCTCATTCTCCCCTCCCAACCAATTCTCTTTCGTAAACCCTTCGAGGTTTTAGCCTTGAAAGTGTGGTAGATCCCCCCCCCCCTCTCCCAAGCCCTATACTATTTTTTTTGCCTGCCCGGGGGTTTTTTTTACCTGCCCGGGCCTGCGTCTTTTGGTGCGTCTTTTAGGACCTGGTTGAGCGTCCTGCGTCTGGACGCATGCGTCCAGGACGCAGGACGCGTCTTTCGCATCATAGCCGCCAGGCACCCCCATACTCACCATCTGCCATGGCATTCTCATCAGTGATGGGAGTGACATCAAGGCACGCGATCTCATGCTCCAGAGTCACGTGCGTCCTCTCTGTCAGCGTGCCCTCGCCCACCTCTATGTACACCAGCGTGCCGCCCCCCGTAGCCAGCAGCACCTGGGGGAACGGGACGTCAATGAACGCCCAGGAAACATTGGTTGGAAACGAGAGAGTGGAGTGAAGAACATTCGGGGGCGCAGAGACAAAGATTGCGTGCCTCCATGCATACCAGCGAGCAACCCACATCCTCACCCTCCTCCATCCCCCCCAGTTGCAAGCAGCACCTGGGGGAAAGGAAAGGAGACCCGAGAATATTGGTAATGCCCCAGCGAGCAATTCTTCTACTAAATGATTGCTTGAAGAACGATCGGTTCACCATATCATCAGTACAGAATTGGTAGCAGCAACGAAGCCTGAACTCTCACGGGAATGCGGGGAGGGACGCATGGTTCCTCCTGGGACTGCTGCTAAGCTGTTGCAGCTGAGTTGACAGCAGATTCACCTTACTGGTGCGAGGCTAGCAGTGGCAGTGATCGTACCTTACTCGTTACCATTCTTGCACGTACATTCTCTCATCTCATCCCCGTTGACTCGCGGTGACTGGAATGACTCGCGGAGACCCAGAGGCGCACCTGGGAGAGGTTGGCGGTGGCGACGTTGATGGATGCGCCAGCGGGTGCCCGCCACTCGTTCACCTGCTGCAGTGTGTGCGCATTCACCAGCCGCAGCTCCGATGACGTCACCTGGGGGGGGGGGGGGGGAGAGGGGAAGGGGGTGTATGAGGGGGATGATTGCAGGGTGAAGAGAGAAGAAATTGATTGAGGGGTTGATTGTAAGGGAAAACGGGGCTTTGCAACCGTCCTCCCCGCCACCTGCTGCAGCGAGTGTGCGTTCACCACCAGCCGCAGCTCCAATGACGCCACCTGGGGGGTGATGCAATGGGGATGACAGTGAGGGATGTTGTGAACAGGTCAGGCCGGACTCACAGGTACGGCTAGTAGAGAACGAAGACAGGACAGGACTGGGAAAGGGGGTCAAAGCAAACATTCTCCCACCCACCTGCAGCATTCACCCACCCGCTCAGAAGAGCGTCTTAGAATGGAAGTCGAAGCCTGCGCATGCCTGCTGCTGTTACAGAGAAGAGCATGCGGAGCAGAGCAGCACAAGGAAAGGCGGGCACCCACCCAACCTATCCTGCACGGGTTGTTCACGACAACATCTGCACAAAACAGCGTCTGCGCAGCTGCGCACACCGTGCCTCGAAATTCACAGGCCTGGGAAACAAGGAGCAAGGGTCACCTCACCCACCCACCCACCCCACCCCAGCCACGCCACAGCACACCACCCACGCACCTGCACGATGTGGTCGTGCAGCACGTTCCCGCAGAAGAGGGTCTGCGCGTGCTGGTCGAAGCCCACCACGTCCGTCTCATCCAGCTCGTCGTCGTCGTTGATGGCCAGCGACCGCGTCTCGCTGACAAACGTGACCACCAGGAACGTGTCGTGCTCCTCCCACGTGCCCCGCCGCAGCGACCACATGCCCTTGATGCCCTCCAGCTCCACCGTTGCCTGGTGAATGGCACAGGGTGGGAAGGCAGGAAAGGGAGTAAGCAAGCATGCTAACGCTTGTGCTGGATGCGTTGATAGTATGTCGCACAGGCATCATGTGTTCATCTGCAGCGACCACATGCGCTTTGTGCCCTCCACCTCCACCGTCGTTTGGTGTGTGCGGGGCAAAGCAAATCACAAAAAGCAAGCGCGCACTGACAGCTTGCTGGTGAGTGTGAGTGAAACAAGCACGCATAAGGTGTGGGAGAAGTGGAGTGGAAAGGGGGTGCAGAGGGGGAGAGAAAGAAAGAGAACACGGGTGCACTTGCAAACACCACACACATGACCCGCACCTGCTCGTTGATCCCGATGCCGTTGCGCACGACGCGCAGCGACCCGTCGCCAAAGGCCCCCGAGCAGGTGACGAGCTGGCCCTGCCCCTGGCGGTCGAGGTCCACCACGGCCATGTCCACTATGGGGCCCAGATTCACAAACCGCTCCATCTCCTCCACGTAGCTGCCCGTCGCCGCTGCTGGGTGCTCCGACAGGCGGATCAGCTGGGGAAGAGGCATGCAAAGAGGGGTAGGTGGGACAGGAAGGGGGGGGTGGGGGGGTGGCAAGAGACACAAGGGCGGTGGAGGTTCACCACAGCCATGTCCACGATGGGATGGGATGGGATGGGCCCCACGCTCACACACCGCTCCACCTCCTCCACTCACTGACCGCCACCGCTGGGTGCTCTGACAGACGTATCAGCTGGGGAAGGGATACACAAGGGGGGGGGGGGGGGGGGAGGACAGTGCGGAAAAAGGCCTGACCGCTCCACCTCGCCCACATAGGTGCCTGGGAGATATCAGGTGGGGGACAAGAGAGACGCACAACAGGAGGGGCAGAAGCGGGGAAACGGGAAGGCCAACCACTGCAACGGGCACCGTGCATGCAGTGCAGTCGAGGTAGAAGGAGGAGAAGCAACAAAGGACGGTTGAGCATGGGCACCTGCGAGTCGCCGTGAGCGGAGCCAAGGAAGACGACACCGTTGTCGAGGTAGGAGATGGTGGAGGGCGATGACACCGACCCCAGCGTCTCCAGCTTCATCGTCACCACCCTGCACGGATGGCGGCACTTCAAGTATCGGTTTCTGATTACCATGGCACAAGGATACGACCACAACTTGCTGTGGCAACTCGCTATGCAGGGTCCAAGGCCATTCCATGGCAGAGCAAGAGGTCAAGTGTCAGAAGAGAAGGTGCGAGTTGATGCTGTCCATCTCCCTGCCAGTGGCAGTGCTCACCGGTCCTTGTCGCGAGTGAGCACGAGCAGCATGAGAGTGCCCATGTGGTCGCCCAGCAGATAGCGCGAGCCGTCTGGATCCACCCGGCCATACGCCTCCACCAGACACTGCATGGCACGCATGCATGGCGCAGTGGGGAGGGGACAGACAAGACAAGGGCATGAATCAATGGACGTGAGTTGAGAGACTGAGAGCAAACCCAGTTTCACACAGCCATATGCCTTCACTTCACCAGACACAGCACGGTGCAACAAAGGGGGAGGGGGAGGGAAATGGGGAGGTGTGTTTCCAAGGAATCAGAAAAGAATGCATGCGCCATGCGCCTCCATGAGATACTGCATGCATGCATGGCGAAACACGAGGGAGATGGCGAGAATGGGTGGGTGCATATGTGTCTGTGTGCCCTCCACCCACGGTCCACCAGACCAGAGCACTGTACACATGTGGATAGACAGGGCGGGGACTCACATGGGTGACTGCTGATATCATGACACAATAAAAACCATTGTGGTAGACGGTGCTCGGCACCCAATCCACCACACCATCACGTCATTGCTGCCTCTCCCACCACTTACTGCACTCAATCAGCACACACGGCAATGAGGCAGCAGCACTCACGGGGCGCATGGGCAGCGCCTTAAGCACGGCGCCGTTGTGGTAGACGATGCTCTGCTCGCCCACGATGAGCGCACCCCCCATGGGCGGCGGCACCGCGATGATGAGCGCCGCCCCGCCGTCCAGATTGCTCTGCTGCCACGGGCCGTCCGTGAAGTCCTTGTCTCGCACCTGCGGGTCAGGGGTTCGTTGGCTTGCCACGCTGGGATTAACTTTCTCCAGACTGAAGTTCTCTGCAGCCACGGACCGTGCATGCAGTCCCATCCCATGCGTCGCAGGTGCAGAAACAAGGTTGCGCGAAAAGGATCGACTCGCAAAACAATGCTGCCCCGTTGAGAGTGTGTGAGGATGGGTGAGAGTACCCCATGATTGAGACATTGATGGGTGAGGGTACCCCATGATTGAGACATTGATGGGTGAGGGTACCCCATGATTGAGACATTGATGGGTGAGAGTACCCCATGATTGAGACATTGATGGAGGCATAGTGGGTGTGCATGGATGGTATCCCGGCTGCTATGGTAGCGGCAGTGGAAGTCAGTGAGAGGGAGGAGGAGAGGAGATAAAAGGTAGAGTTGCAAAGAGACAAGCAGCCCGGTGCACACACCTGCACCTCGTATGTCTTCACGTGCCTGGCATCCTTATTGTCCTGCCGTGGCACCCACACGCACAGGGCACAGGAGCGAGTGGAATAAAACTAGACGACGTTATTAAGTGATATGAGAAGAACTGCAACAAGATAAAAGGTGTTGGGTGCAATGAAACAGGATAGAATGAGTCAGCAGCAAGCACATGCATAACATTAGTGAGGGAACACATGACGACTGCACAGCACAGCACCTGCCTGAAACACGAGATGGTTGGACCGTGCACCACGGAATGGAGTGGAATGGAGTGGAGTGGAGTGGAGTGGAGTGGAGTGGAGTGGAGTGGAGTGGAGTGGAGTGGAGTGGAGTGGAGTGGAGTGGAGTGGAGTGGAGTGGGATGGGGTGGAGTGAAATGGAGAGGGGTGGGACACTACACTGGTACGCACCTGGTAGAGCACGGCGATGGTGGGGCGTTCACAGCCGTACAGGAACTTGATGTCGATCACCTGCAGCTCCTCCAACCTGGTGTGTGAGGGGAAAACGGGTCAAATCAGGCACAACACAACAAGCGATGAGGACAAGTGAGAGAATGTGAACAATCCTGCACCACAGACAGGGCTTCAAAGCGATTGGACAACGGAAGTTTGTGTGTGCTTTAAAGCCCTGAAGACAGCAGGTTCCTGGTTATGGGCTGGCGAATGTGGGTAAGAAGAAGGCGATACCAAGAGAGGGAGACGGTGGGAGATTGGTGCCAAAGGGCGCGAAACGAAGATGCTGACATGATTTTGAACGCTAGAGTTGATGAGTAAGGCCTTGGACAAGATACTCAATTCGAAGCAATTCAGAGCAGTTGGTCGGCCGTCCTTGAGTTGGCCCTTGGAGTGGATGGGCATGGCCTTGCAAAGCCAGCCAACTGGCTGGCCTCTCAACAACATTGTGTGTGGCTCGCAACTCGCAAGCAAGTTAACAGGTCAGGTCGCAGATGCAAAGAGTGTAGGCGAACCCACCCGCCCACCCACTGGATGCACCTTGTAAATGATTTGAGGCGATTCATCATTTGTGTCAAACCATCCACCCACCGGATGTTGAAGGCGTCTTTGAGGTGGCCCTTGGCGTCGATGGGGATGACCTTGAAGAGCCCGTCGTACACATGCAGCCCGATTATGCGGTAGTCCGGATCCACTATGCCGATCTGCACCGCGCGTTGGTCACATGGATCAATGTGTTGGGGAGGTGGAGTGGAGGGCAGGCGGTGGGGTGGAGGGCGGGGGGGCGAAAAGGAGGAGAAACAAACAAAGATCTTTTGGGGCAGTTGAGCTTAGATGCAAGCGGGCACGATGATGTGCAAGCCAGGTCAGGGCCTTCCATGCCAATCTGCTGCACCACACCACACATGGGATGGGGGGGTTCACTTGGGGAAGTCTGGGCAGCAAGGAGCTGATGAGGGGTGGTGCGCAAGTCAGTCGCGCCACGGATTACCCGTGAGAGGTTTAAGATTGACAAGTGTCAGAACCACCGTGTAATTCGCACGTCACATAGACCGGTGAGGACGGAAGCAGGAGGGAGTGGAGAGGAAGGACAAGGGAAGGGGGAGTCGGGGGAGAGATGGTAAGAAAGGTAGTTTCGGGTGGGCTTAGAGGGATGCACTCGAGAGGAGTGAGTGAGTGAGTGAGTGAGCGCATTTGATTCGCGGTGTGAGTGAGTGAAGCAATGAATGAGTTGTGAAGGGCGGCAAAGGGTGCACAAAAGTGAGGAAGGAACCTACCTGGCCATTGTCTGTTGGTCGCCCGATTCGATCAGAGACGTCCCCGTTGGCCCTGGTGGGTTCACAGAGTGCCAACAGAGGCGGGAGTGAGGGGAACAGAGGCAGGAGTGAGGGGAACAGAGGCAGGAGTGAGGGGAACAAAGGCAGGAATGAATAAAAGTCGAGAAACAGCAAGCAGGGGAAATGGCACGACCATTACTAGCTGGCTGGCAGCTTGCGAGGAAGGTGGCGCTCGCAGGTAGGTAGTAGGTAGGTACATCATGCAGATAGCGAGGTGCATGGCGTACCTGGTGATGAGCTCCCTGGAGTGCGCGTCATACTCGAGCACACAGAACTTGTACCGCTCCGTGCATATGAACAGCAGGTCCTTCAACTCGCCCTGCCACGCCATGCCACGCCATGCCACGCCATGCCATGCCATGCCATGCCATGCCATGCCATGCCACGCCACGCCACGCCATGCCATGCCATGCCACGCCACGCCACGCCACGCCATGCCATACCATGCGCGATGCCAGTTGCAACGCCATGTGATGCCATGTCATGTGATGCCATCATGCCATGTCATGTGATGCCATGTCAAACGTCATGATAATGCGCTTTGCTATGCAAGAATACTTCACACTTACTCTGCATTTCCCTCCCTGGCCCCTTCACTTACTCCCTTCATCCCCCCATCTTTTGCTCACTCCCTCCCTCTTGTACTCCTGCCCTCTCTATTCCCATTCGCCCCTCGGCTCAACTTCCTGAGTCCTCTCCTCTTGCTCGCGTTTCCTCCTGCCTTCGTTCGTTGTCCCCCTCTCTCCCTCGATTTTCCTCCTCCACCTCTCCTCTAATTCCTCATCTCTGCTTTCCTTTCTTCCTCCCTCCTAACTGACACGCGCATGCAAACACACGCACACACGCACACACACGACCCGCACGCACACCACACCGAAGCTGCCAGCCATGACATGGGTGCGGTGCAGTGCGGTGCAGGAGCAGAGCGACGGGGCACGTACGGGCGGGCGGAAGAGCTCCATGGTGGCAATGCGGCCGTACAGCGGCACGTCCACCAGCGGCTGAGAGCATGCCATGCCATGCACGCCCACATGCAATCGCAGAGAGAGGCACCCACACACACACGCATGCACACGCACGCACAGGGATGGTGGGGAGTCGGCAGATAAACAATCACGTAAAGCAGTCGAACAATCAGATGCAGTAGCATGTCTGGGCCGTGGCCCGTGGGTGTGTGTGCAAGGTGATCTGCTGCGTGAGACAGTAGCAAGAGACGACATCAATAAATCAATTCGTATAACCGAGACAGGGCTGAGACAGACGGGCGGATGTAACAGAGGGATATGCGTGTGGGCTGTAAGTGAAAAGACACATGAGTTTTGTCAAACAGATGCGAGGAGAAAAGAGCACCTGAAGGCCCTGTGGGGTGAGAAGGTAAATCTCCATCCTCGTGGACTTGCTGCACTTGCACTCGCATTCGCATTCGCATGCCACACAACACAGCAAAGCGAAGAGAACAATGGGATTCAGGCAGTGGAGTCCACCCGCCACGAATTAGCATGCAGCACAGTCGAGCAGAGAGCAGCAGCAAATGCACCCAGTGCAATCCATGTCCACGCACATGAAACAGAGCAAAGAGAGTGAGAGAGAGTCGCAGTGGGAGCTGAAAGGCAGGAGACTCAGGCTGGAATCAGCCGCATGGGCCCCATGCTCCGGAGAAAGGCCTGAAACGATCAAATTCGCAACCCAGACGCGCTCCGATGGCTTAGTTTGAATCGCACCGCACGGGTGCTTTGCTCCACACACAAGGCTCATGGGGACGGACGGCTCATGGGGACGGACGGCTCATGGGGACGAACGGCTGATGGGGACGGACGGGCACGGCATGTATGGCGGACGGCGCTCACCCAACAATCAGGTTCATGTCGTGGGTCCCTGTGAAGCTGCCGACCAATGAGTGCGTGACAGCTGTCGGCTTATGCGCCGTGACGACATAGTTCCAGATCGACATGCTGGACGGCGAATCCGGGTGAAGCGCTTCGGATAGCGGCGGAGCGGACTATCGCAGAGCGAAGCGTAGCGGAGCGGACTGTAGCGGAGCGAATTGTAACGCAGCGGAGCCAGCCGAAGCAGTTTATAACGCGCAATTCTCTGATAGGAAGCTCTAAGTCGGCAATAGCCTCCGGCTACCAACTAACCTGTTCTCAGGTTTCCCCGACTCCAACGATGGCCCTGAACAAGTTTGTTGGTAGGGTACTCAGTCATTAGGCTTAGTTACATAGCGCGATCGATAGTCCTCGGGGTTGTTTTTTTGCGCGGTTAGCAAAGATGATAAAACGTTTGTATGTAATACTCGTGGGTTTAGTGCGGTTGCGGATAGATTGGATCCCCGCCTGCTCTAGACATCTGAACCACTTTCAGCCCATTTCCCCCTCATTGTACAGTGCAATATCGCGGAAGTGATTATGCAAGGAATTTTCCCGAATTCCTTATCGGGGTTGACTGCTTCCTGCACCCAACCTCGCTCGTCCGAGGTTCCCTCCTAGCTAGGCTAGCCCCTACATTAGTCTGTGCCTTCATTGTATTCTCAGTTCTTGCAATCACAGTCTCGTTATTCGTTTACCTGCGCACTCCTTTTACAACTCATAACAGATACAACTACTAACCAAGTAATGAGGCCTATGTCAACTATAGCGAAGGCTAGCTAGGCCGAGGTCGCGGGACCGCGCAATGTTGGGTGCAGGTTTGGGGTTGGGGAAACTCGAAGGCGACGCGAGGGACGTTCGGAAGGCGAGGTTATCGGACCGAGCATGAATTCCGAAAATTGAGATTGTACGCGCATGGAGTGCATCAGTAAGGAATTAGGGAAAATTCCTTACACTATCCCCCCCTCCCCCCCCCCCCCCCCCCCCCCCCCCCCCCCCCCCCGAATTTAAGAAATGTGGTCGATATCAGGCACGCATCGGCGGGAAAGATAATTCCGTAGTACGGAGTGGCCTTGTAAAGAAGTCCGCAGGGACCCGTGTGTAATCTTCGCTCATGCGATCCACCCAGCGGAGGAGGAGATCGACGTGGCGTCCAGCCGGCGTCGCATAGATAAGATGATCCAAAATCTTCTAGGGCTGCAGTGTCGGGTCTGCCACAGGTCGAACACTTGGCGCGATGTTGGGGCGGGCGAAGTTGGACGACTGCGGAGCCACGTAATGGCGGAGCAGGCTGACGTGGAAGGCGTCGTGGATTTTCCGGTCGTCGGGTAGCAATAATTTCGCCGTGACCGGGGTCAACATCCGAATGATGCGGAAGGGCCCCACGTAGCGGGGACGCAGTTTCGCATGTTGGGGCAGACGAAGATTCTTAGTGTCTAGTAGGATCATTTGCCCGTCATGGAAGGGTAAGTTCCGTCGATGCCTGTCAGCGTAGCGGCTGGCGGCAGTATTAACCTTTCGAAGAATTTTGTTTCTTTGTCGCGGGCTGCCTGGAGCCGAGACGAACTGCTGTGATCGTGGTACCGGGTTGTCTCAAGTCGTTAAAGAGGGTACCACGTGATCGATAGACACCCTAAACCGTCCCAATACAAGACAACCCAAGCATTTTTGCCCGTGTACGAGATAAGGTATACCGGTAGTTGAGATAAAACGGGACTGATTGGTCATTGCGGAGAGCGCATTGTTATATGCGAACTCCAGCATCCGGAGAGAATCCTCCCACTTGGTCAAGTCTGGGCAGTTCGTGCGAATCAACTGCTCCATTGTCTGATTTGTCCGTTTTGTCTGACCGTCGGTTTGCGGATGGTATGATGACGAAAACTGCAGGCGGGTGCCGTACTGTGCCCACGTCTCCTGCCAAAACTTTGACGTGAATTTCGGGTCTCGATCGCTGATGATCGCCGATGGTAAACCGTGTAGGCGTACGACGGTTGAGGTGAACAGCTTCGCGGTTTCTTCGGCTGTGACCGTCGTACGGCATGGTGCGAAATGCGCCATTTTCGTCAATCGGTCAACGGCGACCAGCACCAAGTCGTTGCCACTGGCGCCAGCTGGCAGTCCGGTAACGTCACGTGTTGCCACGGTCGTTCGAGTGGCTCGGGGCTGCAGCATTCCAGCTGAGCGCTGGCGTGATGATTTCATCGATTGGCATGTCGGGCAGGCGGACACGTAGTGCTGCACGTCTGACGCCATGTCGGGCCAATAGTAATTTCGCAACAGTAGCTTCAATGATTTGTCGACGCCGAAATGCCCGGAGAGGTTGGAGTCATGAACCTTTTGCGTCAGCAATTCTCGTAAGGGTCGGTAGGAAGGTACCCAAACTCGATTCGTACCAACTTTTAGGTAATAGCTCCCATGTGCCGTGATGACCCGTTGGTGTTGATTCGTCCTGAAGAAGCGGTCGGTTCGGTAGTTATGCTTGAATAATCCTGCAAATAAGGGGTTAGAATGGGCAATTAGTACTGCTGCAGTCTGCATTGATGGGCGGGCCAGGGCGTCGGCAATGTTGTTGGCGCCTTCTTGTACGTGATGGTGTAGCGGAAGTTTGACTCGAGGTAGTCGAGCCACCGCATTTGTTGCGGGTTGAGCTGTGGTTGGCTGCGCATGTACTGTAATGACTTGTGGTCTGTCCTGATCGTGACGTTGGCTCCCGTGAGATAACAGCACCAGGTACGAAATGCATGCACGATGGCGAGCATTTCTTTGTCGTGTACAGGGTAGTTGCGCTCGGGCGGCTGCATTTTCCGTGACTCGTACGTGATTGGTTGACGCCCGTTGCCGAAATCCTGTAGAAGGACAGCGCCGACGGCGAAATCACTGGTGTCCCTCACGACTTCGAACGGTCGAGATGGATCTGCCAGCCGAAGCACTGGGGATGAACTCAAAATTTTCTTGAATTCGTCGAAAGCCAACTGTTCTCTCTCCCCCCAAATAAATTGCGCGTCTTCGTGCAGAAGATCGGTTAACGGCCTGGTTACCCCCGCCATATTCGGTACGAAACGGCGGACGTAGTTAACGAAGCCGATGAAACTCTGCAACTCCATGATGTTCATAGGCGGCTTTCACTCCGAAATAGCCGTCACTTTGCGAGGGTCAATTTTAATACCCTCCCCTGAAACCACGTGCCCGAGAAACTCCAGCTCCGGCCGTAAGAACTCACATTTAGAGCCCTTCGTAATCAGTCAATTCTGCTGCAAGAGCCGAAACACTTCCTCTAAATCCCGTAAATGCTGTTCCCAAGTCTTGTTGTACACCAGGATGTTGTCGAGGTAAACGATAACTTTCTTATCCAACATGTCCCGGAACACCCTGTTCATGGTGAGCTGGACGTCGACGGTGCATTTGTCAACCTGAACGGCATCACTGTACACTCGTAGCTGCCGTAGCAGGTGCGAAAAGCGGTCTTTGGGCAGTCGTCGGCGAACACGCAAATTTGATGGTAGCCACCTCGCAAATCGAGAGAAGAAGCGAGCCCCGCGAAGCTGATCCAGCAGGTCGTCCGCTCGCGGAATCGGGTAACGTGACTTGATGGTGATCCGATTCAGCGCTCGATAGTTTATGCATATGCGCATGCCTCCGTCCTTCATCGGCGTAAACAGTATCGGGGGGGCGAATTGTGATGTGCTCGGCCGGAAAAAACGCTTCGGAAGTAGATAATTCAGTTGTTTCCGCAACTCGTCTAGCTCCGGTTGGCTGAGCCGCCACTAGGACCGAACAGTTGGTTGCGTGCTAGGCTCCAGCTCAATCCAGTGGTCTTCTGGTCATTGTGGTGGCGGCCCGCCAGGTAGGTCATTCACAAAAATTCCAGGATACCTCCGAATTATGCCCGCCACGTCCTCTGGTACAGCAGCACAGAGCGTGTCAATGTCGGCGACTTTTTCGGACGCAACCACCTCGTACAGCTGTACGGCGTAGCCTTGCGCCCCCCTTTTTATCGCCCTCCGCAGCGTTATCGCGTTGACACGTGTCGTCATCGGCTCCGGCTCCGCCCATTTTGGAAGCGTCACACGTACCTTGTTGCTCAGCACCGTGCAAGCCCCCGTAGTCCAGTCGATCATCAAATTAAATTGCTGTAGCCAATCCCGTCCCAGCAGCACATCGCAACCGTCCAGTGTTGTCGCCAGCATCTTCATCGAAAACCTGAAATCATCGCCACACTTCATTCGAATTTGTCGCACGTCACCTCTGATCGCCAGCGGTGTCCCGTCCACCAGTCGTGCATCAATCTCAGGCAGACACCTGTCCAGCTTAACTCCAACTTTTCTGGCCGTTGCCAGGTTGACGAGATTGTGGCTCGCCATACCGTCAACGAAAAATTTTATTGTATGACCGTTAACCCTCCCCACGACCAGCACAGGGCGATTCACGTGTTCATCCTCTTTATTCGTCCGGTGCGGTCGATAGCTCGTATCAGTACCACTACTCGGTGTGGATGGTGATTGCCGGGTGATGGGGTCTCGTCTATAGGTGGCCC